TAAACAGTAAAACAGATAAGATTAGTCTGACATGACATGTTTTTGAAGAATCCTTGTTGACTTTTATTAATCACAGCATTCCTTTCTAAGTGATTGCAGATTGCTTCCAGAATCTTTCCTGGTATTGATGTCAGGCTGACTGGACAGTAATTGTTTGGGTCATCTTTTTTCTCTTTTTGAAGATATGGACAAAATTTGCCCTCTTCCAGTCTGCTGAGACTTCTCCTGTTCTCCAAGAATTCTCAAAGATTATTGCCAGTGGTTCTGAAATGAGTTCTGTTAGTACCGTCAATACTCTTGGATGTTGTTAATCTGGCCCTGGAGACTTGAATTCATTCATTCATTCATTCATTCATTCATTCATTTAAAAGTTTTCTATACCGATCTTCTCATCTCCAGGAGGGACCCAGATCCGGTTCACAACATGTGATCATATACAAATACAAACCACACAATGCATTATCATTACATGTTAAAAACATATTACAATACAACATCGTCATCATTTAGAATAGCCAGGTATTCCTGGACTGCTTCTTTACCTATTTTGGGTTCCATTTCCCCTGTTACCTCTTCCACTTCATACTGGTCAGGTTGAACACCAATCGCCTTTTGGGAGAAGACTGAGGCAAAGAAGGTGTTGAACAGCTCTGCCTTTTCTCTATCTCCTTAACATTTCATCACCTTCTCCATAATGCATTGAAGCAATGTTAAGATATCTTTATTAAGGATAAATCAAATTATAAAATGGCGAGTTACCTTCTAAATTTCACCGAATGTATACAGTTCGTTCTCCACATTCACTGAAGTTAGGGGCACAGGAACCCTGCAAAACAAAAACTACAAATAATACAATTGCTATTCTTTTACCTGAGAGAACATCTCTTTGGGAATCTCAAAGTTCTCCAGTATGAGTTGGTTGAGATTGACCATAGGACTGTACTAGAGGACCTACATATTACTAGAAAGTTGTTCTCTGTAGGAATTGCCAGATCTTCCACCATGACGCTTTGATCAACCTCTGCAGAAGTTGACTATAGAGTTACACGGAAGGACCTAGTGATACTAGAGAGAATATTTTAATCAAATCCATGAATAGACAAATCTTCAAAAATCAAATCCACTAATGTGGAGGGTTGAGTGTATTGTTTTTGTTTACAATGTCCCGCACATCAACCATATTATCAAGGTTTACAATAAAGTAACTACTACTGTTTGTGAACCGCTGTGAGTCGCCTTCGGGCTTGAGATACAGCGGTATATAAGCAAAGTAAATAAATAAATAAATGAGAAAGTACTGAAAAGATCAATTTAATAACCTGTATCACACGATAATAAGCAGAATATATGAAATAAGCCTTGGAATCTCAAAATTGACTTAACATTGGAAAGATATAAAGAATTAGTTCCAGATAGACCTCCTTGGAGAAAGTGTTCCCAGGAAGTTATTTTTCACAGTAACCATCTGCTCTGTGTCCTAATGTGGGAGAACTAGCAAAACGACCTTTACTTGATCTTATAGCAGTGCTTTTCAAACATTTCATGCTGGTAACACACTTTTTAGACATGCATTATTTTGTGACACAGTAATTCAGTTTCACTAGTAAGCCGGAGGTTAAACTAGCCCCTTATAAGAGATACAGACAAATATGATATATTGTAATAACAAAATGTATAGGGACACAAGTAATGTTATAAAAATCTTCCATTTATAGTGTTAAAATATATTACTTGTAAGATAATAGCATATATTTCCAAGATTTTTTGTCATTTCTTATTACGTTTGTGTGACATACCTACACACTAACATGATGAGACACACAATTTGGAGAATTCTCTCTTAAAGATAACTTATTAAATCTTGATATGAGAAACAGGATCATGGGAAAGTGTGTGGGAAAATCTGAGTTGGTTCTGTTGTAGAACAGGCTACAAACCTGAAGTATATTAATATTCATATAATAGAGTTTTCAGGACAATTATTTGTAGACCAATTACATTAGTTCATGGCAAATGAAAACAACTTCAGCTTTCACCAAAGTGTTCTTGAACTTTTTACTTATTGTGTCAGGAGCAAACCAAAACAGTTGTATTGCATTAAAAACAGACAAACAAACAAACAAAGTTTGCAGGTTTGGGATTCTATTAAATGTCCTTTGACCAGTATCTGGCCACTTGGAGTGCCTCTGGTGTTGCTGCAAGAAGGTCCTCCATTGTGCATGTGGCAGGGCTCAAGTTGCATTGCAGTAGGTGGTCTGTGGTTTGCTCTTCTCCACACTCGCATGTCGTGGATTCAACTTTGTAGTCCCATTTCTTAAGGTTGGCTCTACATCTCGTGGTGCCAGAGCGCAGTCTGTTCAGCACCTTCCAAGTCGCCCAGTCTTCTGTGTGCCCAGGGGGGGATCTCTCATTTAGTATCAGCCATTGATTGAGGTTCTGGGTTTGAGCCTGCCACTTTTGGACTCTCGCTTGCTGAGGTGTTCCAGTGAGTGTCTCTGTAGTTCTTGATTTAAGTCGTTGACGTGTTGGCTGATACCCAAACGGGATGGCTGGAGACAGGCCCGTAGCCAGGATTTCGTTTCGGGGGGGGGGGGGGGGCTGATTTTTTTCAGGGGGGTTTTGGGGGGGGCTGAGTCTGAGTGAAAGAGGGTCTAGCCTAGCAAACCTTTTGTATCATTACCCCAATACCCCCATGCATATGGGATATATTGAGTATGGTGATCAGATCATGATATGAATAAACATAACAGTTTAAATAATGCACCAGTAAGGCCTTTTCGCAAACCACCATGAGAATTTGGGGGGGGGGGGGCTGAAGCCCCTCAAGCCCCCCCCCCCCCCCCCCCAGTGGATGAGCTGGAGATGTCACTGCCTTGGTCCTTTCACTATTGGTTGCTACTTCCCAGCGGATGTCAGGTGGTGCAATACTGGTTAAACAGTGTAATTTCTCCAGTGGTGTAGGGTGCAGACACCCCGTGATAATGCGGCATGTCTCATTAAGAGCCACATCCATGGTTTTAACATGGCGAGATGTGTTCCACACTGGGCATGCATACTCAGCAGCAGAGTAGCATAGCACAAGGGCAGATGTCTTCACTGTATCTGGTTGTGATCCACAGCTCTTGAACTAAGAAGTACTGTATACTTTCCATGTAAAGATTTTAAGGATTTTTTGAATGTTTTACCCTATTTGAAAAACTATTTTCCTGTTCTGAAAATTCTTCAACACATTCTCTAGGAATTTAGAATGCAACAAAAGACAACATTACGTTTCTTTGAAATATGGAACATGTTCTGGAGGATAAATAATGCATTACCTTAGTTTAGAATTTTATTTGTAAAAACTTGCATATTTAGAAGTGGTTAGTAACATAGCTATAAATGCTTTAATAAAATATATAAAGATATGCAGATGACACCACTCTGATGGCTGAAAGCGAGGAGGAGCTGAGGAGTCTTCTAATCAAGGTGAAAGAAGAAAGTGCAAAAGCCGGGTTGCAGCTAAACATAAAAAAAAACAAGATTATGGCAACAAGAATGATTGCCAACTGGGAAATAGAGGGAGAAAATGTGGAGGCCGTAACAGACTTTGTATTTCTAGGTGCAAAGATTACTGCAGATGCAGACTGTGGCCAGGAAATCAGAAGACGCTTACTTCTTGGGAGGAGAACAATGTCCAATCTCGATAAAATAGTAAAGAGTAGAGACATCACACAGGCAACAAAGATCCGCCTAGTCAAAGCCATGGTATTCGCTGTAGTAACCTACAGATGTGAGAGCTGGACCTTAGGGAAGGCTGAGCGAAGGAAGATCGATGCTTTTGAACTGTGGTGCTGGAGGAAAGTTCTGAGAGTGCCTTGGACTGCGAGAAGATCCAACCAGTCCATCCTCCAGGAAATAAAGCCTGACTGCTCACTGGAGGGAAGGATACTAGAGACAAAGTTGAAGTACTTTGACCACATCATGAGGAGACAGCAAAGCGTAGAGAAGACAATTATGCTGGGGAAAGTAGAAGGTAAAAGGAAGAGAGGCCGACCAAGGGCAAGATGGATGGATAGCATCTTTGAAGTGACTGGACTGACCTTGAAGGAGCTGGGGGTGGTGACGGCTGACAGGGAGCTCTGGCGTGGGATGGTCCATGAGGTCACAAAGAGTCGGAGATGACTGAACGAATGAACAACAACAACATAAAGAATATATACAAGGCCCTTTTCAATTCCTTGTTTTTGTTTTGTTTTGTTTTACACAGGATTCAAAAGAATCTTGTTCATGAAATCAAGTCTGGACAAATTATACCTTCCATAACGAATGTCCGATTATGTTTTATTAGCAATTGTGTTATGCTAATATTTTGTTCCATTGTGAGCCTTCCATAGATCAATGCTTTGAAACATTCATTTCCCAAATAACTGTATGTATAGTATGTATAGTAGTCAGCTTGGTTCTACACACTAAATGCATTTTTGGGTGTCCTTGTTTTCTGAATCTACTGAATGTTTGAAAATACTGATGCACCACATTTATTTGATATTTTATTAGAATTGGTCCAATTGTAAAGAAAACTTACACTTAAAGTCTTGCAGTCTGAGGCAGTGGGAGATCACTGACATGTGTATCGTCTGCTGTATTGGAAACAACTTATTCAAAAGGGCTGGCATATTTGCCTTCTCAGATCCAGTAAGATTGGACTGAGAATGGCACCTGCAATGCTAGGCTGATGGTGAAATCATCAATTTTGGCAGTACCAAAACAGGGTGGGAATGAAAATAGTAAACAATGTCAGGACAATGACAACAACATCCCGATGATCTAAATCTACAGTAGTCCAAAACAGCAATTTATCATATATACATATCTCTGGATCAGGGCTAGGATGTTTACTATAAAACACTTAAGTGCAATATTATTACATCATACTTATACATAACATACTTATACATATATTATCCTAATATGTGTATAATTGAAATTAAAATACATTTTGTTTGTTTTTTTACCAGATGGCGGAATGTACAATCAGTTGGACAACCTATACCAGGAACTCGATTCATTGCTTTCAAAGTACCTTTGAAAGGGGTATGTAAAGAAGATGCCCAGAAGTCACAGACATTTTATTTTAGCATGTAGCTCTTTCTCTTTTTTCTCTTTTCTCTTTCTCTTTTTTCTTTCTTTCTTCTTTTCCTCTACTATTCTCTTGTCTTCTCTCTTTTCTCTCCTTTTGTTAGTATAAGGCTTTTTGTGGGTTTTTTGTTTCTTTTTTCTTCTTTTAATTTTATATAATATGCAAAAACTTTAATAAAGACTATTTTTAAAAAAGAAAAAAGAAGGGGGTATGTATTAAATGCTATTTCTATGAATGTGTATTCATCATAGCTCATCAAAATATGTTTAGATATATTTTATACAATCAATATTTATTCTTCTATTCTAACACAGGTCTTTTTACAGAAAAAAAGAAGGAGCAATATTTCATCTTCCACAATCCATAAGGCTGCCATCACTGAAGGGCAGTCCTATGAATAAGGTGGCCAGAGTCCCATAGGCTTGCTTTGGTACAATAATTAGGGGTTGTTCTTTTTTTTTTTTTTCAACTTTACACATTAATGTATTTACCATAGTACTTCCTTATGCAGGTCTCCTGATCAAAATATCAGTGATTGTCTTTGGCATGTGTTAGGTAACACCCTCCACTTTTGACTGCTTTCTTCTTATCTCACTGTCCCAGGATCTAAGTTTTCCATAATTACGTTGATGGAACTTTATGCTGAATAATGCATAATGTTGATCAGCATGTTCTTCCACAGTGAGGGTTGGTTTGATGCACCTTCCTCTTGACGTGTTTCTCTCTTTTGCCCTCCATTAGTGCCTCTTTAAATTCCACAGCACTGTTGGTAGCAGCTGACCTTCAGTTAGAGCTGTATCCATGACTGAGCAGCCCCTTTTAGGATCCACTCTGTTCACTCCACATGGGGAGGGGGCTAGAAAAGGTGCCCTAAACATAGTCTGCCTCTCTTATCCCTGACTGGACTTCCGCATCCAGAGAGGTCACCATCTTGTGGCCAAAAAAGAAAAATGAACTTTGGAACATGGAATGTACAGACATTGTTAGACAGCCAACACCCTGAACGCTGGACTGCTATTATTGCAAGGGAGCCGAGGCACTTTAACATCAACATGGCAGCAGTTCAGGAGACCTGGAGAGCAGGAGAGGGACAGCTGAAGGAAGAAAATGGAGGCTACACCTTCCTCTGGAAGGGACTGTCTGAAAAAGAACAAAGAATACACAGAGTTGGTTTGCTATCAGAAATGACCTGATGAAACACCCATTGGCGTTAACGAATGACCCTCCGAATTAACCTTGCCAAAACCCAGCAGGCAACCATCGTAAGTGCCTATGCACCAATACTAGATACTGATGAATATATCAAGGAAAAATGTTACTGTCATCTGGACACCATCCTATCAGAGATACCTAAGGAGAACAAAATTGCCCCCCTGGGGGATTTTAACACAGGAGTCTGACAAGACTTCAACCCGTGGCCAGGGACCACTGGAAAATATAGGGTTGGAAACAGCAACCGGAATGGCATCCTGCTTCTTACTAAATGTGCAGAACACAACCTTGTCATCACAAACACATTCTTTCACCAGAAGAACAAGCTTACAACATCATGGAAGCACCCCCGGTCAAAGCATTGGCACCTCGTAGACTATGTAATTATACGTGCTAGAGACCGCTATGATGTGCTGCTCACGAGAGCCATGACCGATGCTGATGACAGCTGAACAGACCACAGGTTAATCCGATCTACAATGGTTATCAAGATCACCCCCAAATGCAGGCTCCAAGGAAGAAAGATAAGGTGAAAAATGAACACCCAAGCCCTTCCAGGCCCCTCCAAATAAGCCCTTCGCCAAACAACACTCAAAGATCATCTACCCATAGAACACCCTGAAAATATTGAGAAACACTGGAACAAACTGAAGACGTCCATCATCACAGCCTATGAAGAAACCATTGGATATCAAACTAAGCAGCATCAAGACTGGTTTGATGAAATAACGAAGAGATCCAACAGTTAATTGATAAGAAAAGGAAAGCCTTTCAAACATGGCAGAGAGGCACCAACGGTGTTGTGATGAAAAAGATTTATGCTAATGCAAAAGTTGTGGTCCAAAGAATGACCAGAGAACTCAATAACATCTGGTGGACCAAAAAGATTCAAGAAATCCAATGCCTTGCTGATGTCCATGATGGTACTACAGATTGAGCATCCTTTATCCCAAATTCCAGAAACTAAAAGGCTCCAAAATCCAGAATTATCTGCACAGGTGGCTGAGATAGTTACACCTCTGTTTTCTGATAGAGCAGTGTCTAAAAACTTCTGTTTTATGGACAAAATTATTACAAATATTGTGTGTAAAACCAGCTTCAGGCTCTTGTATGAAAATAAATTAATACATTAATTTGATGGCTTAGACATGGGTTCCATCTCATTATATTTATAAAAATATTCCAAAATAAAACATTTCTGGTCCCAAACATTTCAGAGAAAGGATACTCAACCAACATTTCCCAAGAAAATGCAAAGAAGTACAGTCAGCTCTCCACATTTAGAAGACTTTTGGGCTCAGCCCCCTCCCAACAACAAACCATGAATAATATACAGTAGGAGCAAGCACCCCCAGTTTGTGGCAAGGAGGATGATTGGAAGTCTAGCTGCTGAACTTAGAACCAGTTGCCTGGGGCTGTCTACACATTTACTCAGCAGCCCTGTCTGGTGACAGGGATGAGTCACTATCCCCAAGATCTCTTCGTCTGGAGGATAAGGATGTCTGAGAATATTCCAACACAGCCCTGTCTTCAGGAGATGAGCCATGAGGGGGCAAGGACACCCCCCCCCCCATTGTTGGACAACCTGAGAGCATTTCCAAGGCAGCCCTGCCCTCAGTACATGAGTGGTCACCTACCTGACATTGCCACCTCCCAAGAATGGGGGAACTCAACTTCGTTTTTGTGGCTGCCGCAAACAGTATTGAATTGGTTGAGACTCTTTGCAATATTCATTGAAAAACTATAACAAAATGTGTTTCAGAATGTGCCACAAAATGTTTTTGCAGTTTAATAAACTTTTCCCATGTTTTATAATAGAACCAATTAGAAAATGACATTTATAACCCAGGAACAAAAATCATGTTGTATAGTATCGGAGAACAAAGAAACAAAAAGTGGAAGGGGGCATGGCAGGTGATATATGTATTACTACCTGTACCTCCTACTTACAAACTTCCTGCTGATCTTGAATGTTTCTTTTATTTCCCAAGCCTCATATGATAAAGCGAATTATTTCATTTGCAATAAACAGTCTCTTTTTTCTCTGTTCCAGGCAATCAACCAAAGGTTGATCCCAGTTCAAAGGTTTACACCAAAAGATCTGATTGCTGCAGTGAAAGCCCTTAATGTGGAACTTGGCTTAATTATTGATTTAACATATACCAGAAGATACTATGAAGTTAAGGTAGTAATAAATTGATATTTTAAAGGAGAATCAAACATTTGCCCTGTGTTTTTAAAATCAAATTTGAAAACTGATGAAAACACCATGATTTATTTCATGTTTAGCTGTTCCACAAGCTGTTCTTTTATAAGGCTAGGGTTATTTTATTTATAGTGCCATTAATTTGCATTATACTTTACACACCACAACAAAACAGATCCTGCTCCCAAGTATCTTAAAATCTAATATCTGGCATAGATTAAATTGGAAAGCTAAGGAAAGAAAGTGAGAGAAAGCTAAAAAGTATTAAAAGGTCCTATGTTTATACTAAATGCAAATATTTGTTTATACCAAATGCAAATATTTAGGCTTAGTAACATTATTTATTTATTTATTTATTTAAAGCATTTATATCTCACCCTTCTCACCCCAAAGGGCGGAGCACAACATATAACGGCAAACATTCAATGCTGGAACATAAATAGACTATAAACATACATAATATTAAATTCATTTATCTCCGCATTAAAATTCACTGTTTAAAACCGTCGAAACAATTTAAAACATGTAAGCTAGCGTTGGAAATTTTCCAGAAATGTTGCAATTAATGGGAAAAACAAACCCACCTCCATTTTTAAAAAGGAAGGTTTGAGAAAAGTTGAAATATATACAATATTTATTTTCTTATCTATGTAATAGGAGAGAATGCTTTTGGAACATGGCCATACAGCCCGGAAAACGCACAGCAACCCAGTAATATCACATTTGCCATATCAACAGTATAAAATGCACCAATTACCACTTAGAATATAAAACTGTACTATTTATCATATTTTATGGTATGCACAGTGTTATAATGTGCATGTTTTTCAAAAACAAGATTCACACTCTTTAGTGATGTTACTACCAAGTGGATTTGCATAGGATTGCAGCCTCAAAATAATAAGCAATTTGGCCTAAATCTTGCATCTAGAATCAGAGCTGGAAAAGATCACAAGGGCATCTAGTACAAACCCATGTTCAGGAATACACAATCAAAGCACTCCTAGTAGAAGGCCATACTATCTCTGACTAGGATCTCTTTTCCTATAGTTTGAATCCATGACATCCTTTCAAATATTGGCTGTTATGCCTCCCTTCAACCTCCAGACTTAACATACCTTGCTCCCTAAGCTGTTCCTAATGGGGCATAGTTTCCAGACTTTTGTGGTGCCCAAAATGGTATTCCAGGTGAGGTCTCACCAAAGCAGAATAGAGTGGTACTACTACTTTCTTTCCTCAATCTAAAAGGCATCTATACTGTAGAATTAATGTGGCTTGATACCATTTTAATTGCTCAGTGCTATGGAACCACAGGAACCAATGTCTTTAGCCTTCTCTGTCAAAGAATAGTGGTGCCTCACCAAACCACAAACTATGATCCTATAGCATTAAAAAGTATTTTAAAAGTATTAAAAGGTCCTATGTTCATACCAAATGCAATGCCATGGCAGTGAGCATGTTGTCAAACTATGGGTACACACTTATACACTATAGTCCTGTTGACAGAACCTACAATTACATTGGCTTTTTGTGCAGTCGTATGACATTGGTGACTCATGTTCAGCTTCTGATCCACCCAGATTTCTAGATCCCTTACACATGCACTGAATGGACTTCCATATAATCAAAGCAAGGCAACTGTTGTAGATAGTGAAACAATACTTTTGTATGTATAGCACCATCCTTGTGCTCACACTAAAAATACACTACCACTAGTGCAAATGAACTTTTAATGGTGCAGTCACTTACATAACTCTTTTTAATTCATGTCTTGTCTATTCTTTTATAGGTCTTTGTTTCAATTGTTCTAATGCACCTAGTTTTTGGGAGAAATCTATATAAATAAAAATGTGATGTTCATTTGTGGGATTAACATAACTCAAAAACCACTAGGTGAATTTGATTGAACACAAGACACTTATCAGGCCAATGAGTGACCATCACTCATAAAAACACTGAAAAAGATAGCGGAAGAGACTTTAAAAGCCAAAAAATAAAAAATACATTGCAGTGTATGCACAAACGCACATATATACAAATATACGCATATATACACACACAAAACACATATACACAGATTGGGCCACAGCAATACGTGGCAAGGGATGGCTAGTCAGGATATAAATAGAGGTAGAGGCAGAATAGTAGTATAGTAGTAGTATCACTTCCAGTGGTATCAGCCATCCAGTTTGATACTGGGACTGTACTATTCATTGACTTTCATTAACTTAAGGGGAACCACTTAAACATGATAAGCATCAGTGTATTGTCAAAAGCTTTCATGGTTGGAATCACTGGATTGTTGTAGGTTTTTTGGGTTGTATGGCCAAGTTCTAGAAGCGTTCTCTCCTGACATTTCGCCTGCATCTATGGCAGGCATCCTCAGAGGTTGTGAGGTCTGTTGGAAGCTAGGAAAACTGGGTTTATATATCTGTGGAAAGTCCATGGTGGGAGAAAGAATTCTTGTCTGTTGGAGTTAGGTGTGAATGTTTCAATTGGCCACCTTGATTAGTATTTGATGACCTGATAGTTTTATTATAAGCATCCTTTCAAATTTTTTGCCATAGTTACGCCCGCATGAAATAACTATCAGTACTTTGATTCTTAAAAAGTTTTTCAAACTGAATTACTCAAAAGGCACCAAATCCAACATGATATTGGAAGCTAGTAAGTGTCAGTCTTGGTTAATACTTGGATGGAGACTGCCAACGAATACCAGGTGCTGTAGGCTTTATTTCATAGGAAGGAATGGCAAAACTACCTCGGAGTATTCTTTGCCAAAGAAAGCTCTAGGGGTCACCATATGTTGACAGCTGATTTGAAGGCAGGTACATATATATGTGTAGTGTTCAGTGTGGAAAGAGACACTGATTCCATTCTCAGCTGATATTGGCATAAGGGTGTGTCATGATGATGCCATGACACAGCCACCTTTAGAATCATAGAATCATAAGTTAGAAAAGACCTCATGGGCCATCTAGTCCAACCCCCTGCCAAGAAGCAGGAAAATCGCATTCAAAGCATCCCCATCCGGCCTCTGCTTAAAAGCCTCCAAAGAAGGAGCCTCCACCACACTCCGGGGCAGAGAGTTCCACTGCTGAACGGCTCTCACAATCAGGAAGTTCTTCCTAATGTTCAGATGGAATCTCCTTTTATGTAGTTTGAATGGGATATTTAAGTATTTAGCTTTCTCCTATAAATACAATTTATGTTATATTCGTTGCAAAATAAGTAAAAATGCAATGCAAGGAAGCAGACTCAAATTTGGATGATGTTGCCACGTTTGTGTTGGTTTCTGAATCTAGGGCCAAAACTATAAAAATCTGGGTTTATATAGGTGCTTTTGCCAGAATCATTGCATAATACAATGATGTTGCTCTTACTTGCAAAAAAAAGTTATTCTGTTATCCTAATAAATATACAACAGTGTTGCAATTTTGTTCACTTTTTTCATTGCTAGGATATGCCCAAAAGTTTGGAGTATAAGAAGCTTTTTACAGTTGGACTTGAAGTACCAGATGATGCCACTATTCTACAATTCAAAAAATGGGTCAGAAAATTCCTATGGGAAAATGCAGAAAACGGTAATTAACACATATTTAATGTTGTGCAGAGTGAACAGAGGAACCATAACTGGGATAGAACTAGGGGAATTAATATTTATTTACCACATTTATGTACCGCCTTGCTCAGCCCAGAGGCAACTCAGGGCAGTGAATTGTTTATCATTCCCAGATTAATGTTTTGTGCCAACCAAAGAAGGCATTGTGGGTCATGGGCTATTTACCCTTGTCCTGTCCAGCATCTTTTTTTTGCTCCAGATAAGAAGCCCAAACCTAGCTATTCTCAGGAACCGGAAGAGGCCTTGGGGTCAGCAGATCTAAGACTAATCTGTTCAATCCTTGGAATATTGTTTTGGGTCCTACCTCTTGTGGAAGATCTGAACTCACAGAGCATTCCATAAATTTACTTGAGTGCACTGGGGTGAATATATCTTATACATCACTGGAACCCAGTACTCACAGTAAGATTTTAAATATGGTGTTCATATTAGGCTTTGATGTGTTGTTTATTTACAATATATGATATAAGGATTGTAGCTAGTATTTTCGGTTCTCAAAAATACCAAGGTTCGTAATCAGGAATCTTTCAAAAACTGTGTCTCCCAATTGCAGTTTTGTGTGTGTGTGTGTGTGTGTGTGTGTGTGTGTGTGTAATGTTCGTTTGTGGGATTAATGTAACTCAAAAACCACCGGACGAATTGACCCAAAATTTGGACACTACACCCCTAACAGACTAACGAGTGACCATCACACATAAACCCCTCCCAAAAAAGTGGAATGATGATACAGCGCATACGCTAAAAGGGCAGCTCCCAGCATCCCCTAGCTCCAAATGCACTGCTTCCAAGCTGCAAGCTTGCTTCTCCTTGGATTTCTTTGAGAGCATCTCAATCTGTACATATTTCTTATTTCCTATTCCTGGACGGCAACTCCCAACAATCCTCCAGATAGATAAGATCTATAGATTACATAGATAGTAGGTAGATAGATTAATCAGGATGATTGCTGGGAGTTACATCCAAGAATAGGTAGAGAAGGAAGAAAGGAGAGAAAGCAAAAGGGTGGGGAAGGAAGGAAATAATAATGACAATGATAACAACAACAACATCAATTTTATTTTATACCCCGCCTCCATCTCTCCTAAGGGACTCGGGGCAGCTTACAAAGGGACAAGCCCAGGGAAAATAAAGTTAAAAACATAACACAATAAGATAGCATCAAAACCAAATAAAAACATATCACAATCAAACATAACATCATAAAAACAGTACCATACAGAACGATAAAAGTGCTGAGTTCAGAGGGCCCTGGGTTTGTGCAAATTCCTAGATAGAGCTAAGGGAAAGTGCAAAATTCAGAAGGCAGGGCTGGGAGGATAATGTTCATGGGCATTAAAATGTCAGGATTTTAGAGTGGAGGGGAAAGAGGTAGAGAAGGAAGGAAGGAAGGAAGGAAGGAAGGAAGGAAGGAAGGAAGGAAGGAAGGAAGGAAGGAAGGAAGGAAGGAGAGAAAGGGGGAGGGAAGGTTGGCCACAGCAACGCATCGTAAGTACAGCTAGTTTATACTGTATATAAATTTTGAAATGTTTCATTTCGAGTTATTGTATGAGGACTGAAATAGGATTTGCTTTTTAGAATAAGACATCCAACTGTACCTGTGCAAATGTCTTTTTTTGTCTATAAAGAGATTTCCTGAATTGTGGTTAACTGAAATGGATCTAAAATCAATCAATAGAATGGGGTTTTGGGTTTTTTTGATAGGAGGTATCCCATGCCATTTGGTAAACCACTTTTCAAAGTTATGTCAATAGACCATACCAGACCAAACAGAATTATAAATATATGTATTTATCTTCCCTGGTTTTTCTTGTTTAAATAGCAAGGAAGTAGAGCACGGGAGGGGTGGGGATATTTCTCTCTTAGCCTGTTAAATGAAGATCTCCCTTCTTCCACCTCCAAAGATTTTATTTCTCTAACCAGAACTTGCTTCCACTGGTGCTTCCATTAATGCTAATGGTGACTTTCCTCCTAAGGAGGACAGTAGTTCAGAGTTCACAGTTTTAAATGGAATGTGACTTGAGCAAAAGAGAAATTTCCCTTCCCACATACCCTGGTTCCAAGTCTGTAAGGGGTGAGGTGTCTCACACAGCTGCTGTTTGAATAAGAAAGCAAACATGCATTTTGAAGACATGCCTACATGCATATAGTGTATCTATTGTATGTATTGTAACATGGCTGAAGTTTCTTAAGTTAATAGTCTGGCTGCTGATCTTTGAACCAGATGAAACTTCTGAGCGCTCTTTAAAGGCAGCCCCTTGTAGAGCGCATTGCAGTTGTCCAATTGGGATGTAACTACGTTTCTTAAGTCACTCCTGATACGGAAAAAAAACCCATGGTTGAGATTCTAATCTTGTTTTTTCTGGCAATGAGGGAGGATGCTGTTCAAGAAATGCAAATGCAAAGCTACGAGGATGAGTCAAAAATTATTTTCAGCACTTTGATTATATTCAAACTTCTGTCGGTCACACTGTCTTATCATCACTTTCCATACGAGGTCACTGCCTCCCCAGTCACAGCTGTGGAGTTTTGAAAGTGTTATGTCGGTTTATTTGAAAGAAAAAATGGCCGCCTCCCTAGTGATTTGCACAAAAGAAGAACAGCATACAATGAAAAAGATTCAATCAACAGTGGTCATTACAGTGAGATATTTGCTGAATTGCCGAAGCCTAAAATTCAGATAAAACATCGAGGACCGCTATCCAAGAGTGCTGTATGACAATACATGCTCGCACATTGCAAGCCATATTGTTGACACTCTTCAGAAACTTCATGCTATAGCCAGCTCTGATAGTGAGAGCGAGAAGGAGGAGCTGTTGGAAGGGCCAGCCTTAGAGTTGGGAGTCCAGCAGTGCCCAGCAGCTTCGTCAGCCAAGCTTGGAAAAAGAGCCTTTGGAGGAAGCTACCACTTCTTAGCCAGCAGAGCAAGAACATGCAAATGTATCTGGGCAGGCAGAAAAAGAATTAAGTGTTCAGGCTCTTTTAGACTTGTGAAGGGAAAAAGCTTGGGTTCGCAGATCCACCCAATTAGCTGCAAAATGAGCTATCAGTACTAGGCAGTACCTGAGAACTTAGCATAAAAGGTTCTCAGGAGTTTCATCGGGCAGCAATGTCGATGCCTGGAAATGTCGCCTCGAACTGTTGATGGTCCTAGAATTCATGAACTCTTGGAATTTGGATTTTGGATTGACCTTGGACTTGTTATCTGTGGGAATCAACTTTTGGATCTCTGAACAAACTGTCAGCTTATCTTGTGTTATTCTCTTCAATTTTGTGTCTCTTTGGCTGGATTCTTTGGTTTGAACTTGGACTGTTTGCTGTTTTGACTAGCTTCCTGGCTTCCCGACACTTCATTTTGAAGCATACTCCCTATAGTCTTGATCTTGCCCCATTGGACTATCACCTGTTTCGACCCCTGAAATAAGCTCTACAGGGACGAAAATTCTTGCCTGATGAAGAGGTGGTACATTTGTGGTTCGCAGCTCAGCCTAAATTTTTAAAATAAGGGAATACAAAAACTGTTGCATTGAAAAGCAGGAAGATGATGTCAAAATTGATGCATTTGTCTTTCCTGAAAGTTGATTAAAATAAATTATACAGCCAGAGTGCGGATAATTTTTGACTCACCCACGTATTTCTTTGTTTCTTTGCATCACACCCTTTATGTTGAAAGAATTCCCATTCAAACAGTGCATTCACATTGTTCTCCAAATCCAAAGATGTCATACCACTTGCAAACACACCTGGATCAGCTGGAAGGAAAGCCGGACATCCGGTTGGACCTGCAAAACTATGGCCTCAGTCCAACTAAGATGTCCTCTCTGCTGTCAATTGTTAACAGCACAGTCAACAGTTAAGAGGAGAAGCATATTCAAGACTAAGCCCGGGCAGCTTTCTATCTATCCCCACACTGAACAGATGGCAGATCCTGTTATCTTTAGCAGTGCCTTATCACATCATTGTGGGGGCTTTGCAAGTGCAACCAGGAGCATACAGCCTGCTCCTGAATTCACAGTTCTCTCAAAGGGAACAACATGTTCAGAGTCAATGTTTCAGAGATATGTAATTGTACTAATTCTTACACAACAATATTTTTTAAAGCTCTTCTTTTTATAATGTACCACCAGTATCTTTGTAGTCATGTTATTTTTTCCCTTTTGCTTTTTAAACAGAAAAACTCATTGGAGTACACTGTACTAATGGAATTAATAGGACAGGTTACCTTATATGTAGGCAAGTATCACAGCAAAAGTGAAATAATTATTTATGCTACAGTAGTATGTTCTGATTTAGTGACCAACGTGTGTCTGCACATTCCTTTAGATACCTAATTGATGTTGAAGGCTGGGTCCCAGAAACAGCAATTCAAGGTATTTGTATTCCTCTTGAGCAGAATCTAAGCTCCAGTATATACTACATAGCTCCTACCATGGCTGTGAGAATATTAAAAACTAGAACTTTTACTTTTAAAAAATTAAAAACTATGTCAGATTTTTAAAAAAATGCTTTTACTTTGTAAAAATAAATTATTTTCCTGTTTTAATATTACTTTATTTACTTTTGATTTTAAATGTCCTTGAGCACTATTTTTGTCAGAAATGCTAGATATAAATGTATTAAAATAATCAAAGGAAAAAATCCTTCATTTTTTCACAAAGCCACCTTCCATACTTATAACATTCTCATTATCTATTTAGCTTTTGGAGAGGCTCGTGGCCACCATATGGATGGTAAAATATATCTTGCAGACCTCAGAACTCAGCCAATGAGAAGGTAAGTCAAGATCTATGTATGCTCATTGTTAAATGCATTCCAGTACAGGTTTTATACCCAGAGTGAGGAAACTTTGGCCCTCCAGATGTTTTAGACTTTAACTTCCAGAGACCCAGCAGTTTGCCAATAGTAAAATATTGTAGTCCAAAATGTCTGAAGAGTCAAAGATTCCCCAGTCCTCTTCAGTCTTTCTTTCACAATTAGCATGTAACAGGTATATCAAATAATGCAGTCTTTGCTTTGCTTGAATTTGGAAAGCACACCAAGCATATTTTCTCATAAACTGATATGTAATTGACAAGCTTTAATAGAGATGATTATTGTGTCTTAGCGTGTTGATTGAGCACTGTCGTTCTGGAAGTGTTTTGACACACATTCATATATAAAGTCTGACATTAGCCCATAAATACAGATGGGAACCTTTTTGTTTCTTTATTGGAATTAGACCAATCATATTAATGTGTCTTTTTACTAATAGCTACTTTAGCAAATGGCATTATGTTGTTTCTCTGAATTTTTTTCAGCAATCTGGGAATGAACGTGTGGGATGCTGATGAAGATATAGTGCCACCACCAAATGATATGGATGGTCATATTGAAGAATATCCTAGGTACCTTTCAGAAATTTACTTGCACTAAACTGAAAATAGTAAGAGGAAAAATATGTATTAAAATAATAATTGTTGTTGTTATTATTTATTTATTTATTAAGTAAAGGTAAAGGTTTCTCCTGACATTAAGTCTAGTTGTGTCCGACTCTGGAGGATGGTGCTCATCTCCATTTCTAAGCTGAAGAGCTAGCTTAGTTGTCTGTAGGCACCTCCAAGGTCATGTGGCCAGCATGACTGCACGGAGTGCCATTACCTTCCTGCAAAAGTGGTACCTATTGATCTACTTACACTTGAATGTTTTTGAACTGCTAGGTTGACAGAAGCTGGGCCTAACAGTGGAAGCTCACCCTGCTCCCTGGATTCAAACTGCCAGCCTTTCGGTCAGCAAGTTCAGCAGCTCAGCTGTTTAACCCACAGTGCCACCAGAGTTTATTATTAATAACTTTATTTACACCTCACTTTTCTCTCCGTGGGGACTCACGGTGGCTAACAATCCACACTAGACAAGTTTAAAAAGTGCAATACAAAAGTTAAAAAAACAAATAGTAACAGTGTGGTAAAAACAGAATTAGAATACAATGAATACACTAAAATGGCTTTTAAAATTCAATCCCCTCCCCAACCTCCCCAAAGCCTGCCCTTTCTCCTTCCCCAAATGCCTGTTGACAGAAGAAGGTCTTGATCTGCTTGCAGAAGGCTATCTATAGTTATAAAACTCTTTCCAACTGCTTTTAAGGCATAACTTAATCAGAATTGTGTTCAGATCTGAGAGTAAAGAGCACTAATAGAACTGCTTCTGTCATCTGAATTAGGATGGGATGACTTCTTCCAGCCATTGCAGCTCCCATTAAACACCCAATGAAGCCCGAAACAAACTGTGGTAAGGTGGAGGTTTAAGGGTAGCACCAGTACTGCAGAATGGGAAGGAAAGGTTGACTGGATTTGTGCAGGAATAGAAACTGTACAGCACTCCAGATATTTCTGAGCTCTGGTTTTCCTGCAGTCTGAGTCAGCATTGCCAGTGTTGAAGAATGCTTGGAATCTCAGTCAATTAGATTTCCTGCCTTGGTTTTATGTCTTTGCAATAAAACCCTAGAAGTACATATTATTTCCACCCAAGAGCTTATAAAGTTGTTTTTAAAAAGGCATTACCATTCCAGTTCTACCCAATTAGTTACTATTATAGTTATTTTATTAGAAAATTTCCTATGATTCAGCTGTACACTTGAATGAACCTACTCCTCCACCATTTACTGGGATCACTCCCCCAACAGTAAAAGTTATTGTAAGAAGATAAATGTTATTCTTTGTTAAATTGCCATCATAATTTAGTGGATCAATACTTTTACTACCATGGAATTGAATAAATTATAGATAACTACAGACTCCCAAGATTGGGCAGTCCCCAGGTTATGAACAAGATACGTTCTGTAGATTTGTTCTGAAGCTGAATTTGTATGTAAGTTGAAACGTTTCCCCCACCACCACCACCTGATCTAGAAGCTTAAGGATGCAATGCCAAAAAAACACCCTTTGGTGTGGGTAAGAGAGCTTCAAGGTCTCTGATTCTGAATAAGGAAGGAGAGAGGAGGGGACGAAGTCCACAGAATGGCAGCAGCCAGCTGGGATACACACATGCACACACAGTAGTTCAAGTGTAATGCAATCACTTTTGAAAATATCAATAAATTTGATCCCATCTGCTTTTTAAACACCTGCACAGAAGAGACATATTCAATATCTTTCAGCAAAGATATGGCAAAGGGATGACCCTTTGCCATCCCCTTTGATCTCAGTGAGGGTCGTCCTAGTCTTATTATTTTATTTCTTTATTTACTGCATTTGAATACCGCCTTTCTCAGCCAGAGGCAACTCAAGGCGGTTCACAGTCAGCAGCGATTAGATGCCGTAACAAATATCAAAATACAGTTAAAACAGTTATAAAAACAAATCGACATTTAAAATGTAATATAAAAAGCAAATACATCTGTAAAAACAAGACCCTCGGCGTCTACTTACTAAAATCATTGTCCAGTTGCATCGTCAGTCATTCCATATATTCATTTACGTCTAGATATGCTCCAGTAGCAAAAGCTTGCTTGAAAAGCCAGGTCTTAACCATTTTACAGAATGTTAGAAGGGAGGGAATTGATCTTACGTTCCTGGGAAGGGCGTTCCATAGCCAAGGGGCCACCACTGAGAAGGCCCTGTTTCTCATCCCCACCAAACACATCTGCGAGGAAGGCGGGATCAAGAGCAGGGCCTCCCCAAACAATCTTAAAGTCCTAGATGGTTCATAAGGAGAGCTACCTTCAGATAGGTAAGCTGGACTGGAACCGTTTCTTTCTTCAACCAACGATATATCAGTTGCTTATGCAGAACAGAGTTTGCAAATGGCCATTTTTTCACTCACTAATATCCATGCTGCTTTAACTTTTTGCTTAGGCAGGCCTGCTAGTTTCTAGCAATCATCAGAGGTTTTCCTCACTATGTAACACAGGTTTGGTCCTGGGTTATAAATGTCATTTCGTAATCGGTTTTATCATAAAAACATGGAAAAAGTTTATTAAACTGCAAAAATGTTGCTTTGGCAGGATATCCTGTAGCACATTTTGCTATAGTTTCTCAATGAATATATCAGGTTCTCAACCAATTCAACATGGTTTGTGGCAGCCACAAAAACAAAGTTTCTGGAGTACAGTGTTCTCTCGCTACTTCGCTGTTTGCTTTTAGTGGACTCGCTGTTTTGTGGGGTTTTGAAAATATGAATAAAAATATTAAATATTTGCATCCAGTGGAGGCCAGGGACCCCAGAACTGCAGCGGCCTGAGGCATGGTGGGGAAGGCCTGCCTCCCTGGCCTCCACAGACCCCGGAAGTGTGGCAGCCTTAAGTGCGGCGGGGAAGGCCTGCCTCCCTGGCCTGCTGCTGCCTGGATGGCTCCGGAGGCTCTTTGGAGGCCAGGGAGGCAGGCAGGCACCCTTGGGATGTACCGGGAGGGTGGGCAAGGAAGTGCGAGTAAGACTCCGGTCTGAGTCCCTCTGCAGAGGTAGAGAAGATCAGGATATAAAAGTTTTAAATAAATAAATAATTGAATAAAATTATATATTATTTATACATTATATTTTATATATTTATACATTATTTATACATTATATATTTTATATATATAATGTATAAATATTAAAATTAATATGGCATCCCTACTTCGTGGCTTTTCACTTATTTTGGGTGGTCCTGGAATGGATCCTCCGTGATAAGTGAAGGAACACTATATAACATCTACTTTCAAAGTAGGTACCACACAATTAAATAGAAAATAACACTTTCAAACTAGGAACATTTTTTTTCAAATTTTGTTACATAGTGTTATGAAAGGGCAAGGAGCATGGAACATTTCTGAATATGTAGTATAATTATCCTTGTCTACCAATTTACTCTCTTTCCATCTCCACAGAGGGCAGTTCCAGACAACAGTAAAGTCTGCTTCGACCATGGTTTAAAAAACCTGGGTCGGAGTGGACTGTAGTCCACACACTGCCAAAGATGCCCAAGCTGTCTGCGGGCATCATCTACATGTTCTCCTGATACCTACGGGGAGAACAGGGAGACAGCCCCCCCACTTCCCGCCAAAGCCCCCCCCCCACTTCCCCCCAAAGCCCATCTTATAAATAAAAGAACTTGCCCAGCCTCCATTAATGTGCTGGAGCTCTCCTGGTGAGTAAGAATGATGCGCCAAGAGAAGCAGGGGCAGGAGCAATATTCCTTCCCCCACTTTCTCCCGGCCCATCATTCCTACGTGCCAGGAGAGCTCTTGCACCACGCTGATAAAGTCCGGGTAAGTTATTTTATTTTTTAAAATGGTTTAGGGGAGGGGGGTTAGAGCCCTCTTGCATTTCCCAGGTCTGATTCAGCCCGGAAAATGCTAGACAGCTGTGCGGACGGCCCCTTCAGAAGTCCCAGGACTTCTGATTGGCCAGTCCAGACAGCGGCCATAGTGGGTTGGCCCTGCATCTTCCAAGAAGACGCAGAACAAATCCACTAACAAATTAATTCGCTATTAAGCAGGGTTTTCCTGCTTTGTGGCAAATGAATTCGTTGTTCTGTGGGATGTCATTTGGACGCCCTAATTTAAAATGCAGGAGCTCTCACTTTTACTGGGCTGTCTGGATGCGCCCAGAGTCATTCTGTGAAGGCAGCAAGTGCTTCAGCTGAGACTCTCATTCAGTATTTATAAGGAAGTGATCTCTATTTTCCAGTTTTGACCAACATTACAGACTGGATGCAAGGGCAAAAACTAATATACTTTTTGGAGAGGTGGCTCTTTCCTTTGTTCTGGTTCAACATAGACCCCTCTCCAGTTAATTATTTTAGTCATCTACCCAATTCTGTGACTCAGAGGAGATCATGAAGAAACAGAACAGATGGGTTGCAAGTAACTGTAGCTCTTTGAATAGTAATCTGTGAATTCAACACATCTTCCTCCCTTGCTTTGCATTTCCATCCTGGTGTTTTGTGGCAGATTCAGAACTGGAGGAAAATGCTGAGATGCACTACCATATACATAGTGGATTATGGATAGCCCTTCTTAAAGCCACTCAGTTCTGGAATAATCTGGTCTAAAGTTCCAGCTCTAAATAAGTCAAGAGCTAGTTGTGTGGCCTAAGAAGAATACTGTGATAGGCAAGTTACCTCTGAGCTCTGTTCTATCCCAGGATTACTTCAGAATTTCATTAGTATGGATTTGTTCTACTGTAAATGATGAGATTATGTTCACTAAGGAGAGTTTAGTTTCAAAGATATTGTTGCACTCCAGGACAGGAAAAGCCCTCTGACTTTATACACCACACCGTTGGATAGAAAACAATCCTTTTATTGAAGATAATTCAAAAACAATAAAGTAAAAAAGCAGTTTAAAGAAATAGGTAAATCCAATTAGGTAGGAGGATAAGCAGGAGCAAAGTAGTTCAGGGTAAAAGTCCAGCAAAGTCCATAAAAACAAAGTCAAAACTTATTTATTGATTTATTGATTTATTATTTAGTACATTTCTATACCGCCCCCTCAGCCTTCCGGCGACTCAAGGCGGTTTACAAAGCAAGAGTTCAATGCCACCAAGGACACAATTACAATATGCAGTATAAAAACATCAGTAACAATAAAATCAAATATTATAAGAAAATATACTTCCAAAATAAAATGCAAGATATCAGGAAACATGAATCCAAGGCATGAATATAAAAGCATAGAATCCAAGAATCAAAACCATGAAACAAAGGCACTTAAAACATGAATTTTTTAAGCAAAACTTCTATGAAACAAGGATGAGATCTTGACTTGATTCCAAACGATGCTTCATCTGACTACATACCTGGGACTTTTATCTCCTCATTAGCTATGTCTCTAGCATTCAGAAATTGGTTTCGCTTTAGCTAAGAATTACTTATCTTTTGCTCTTGGAGCCTGGCAGAACGCCAAAGCCACTGTTCGGCTCTCCTGTTCTGATTGATCTCCTCCCGTTTATCTATTTGCTCATTAATTTCTGCACCTGGGCCAGGTGCCGAGCTGTTTTCATGTTCCCTTTCATGGGAACTCTCTGGTAACAATTCAGAAAGCACACCATCATCCCCACACCCCTCAGGGACATTCTCATGGGAAACTACACTTTGAACAGGGATCTCCTGGTCATTCTCTGCATCAATATCACTGAACAAACCATTGCCATCTTGAAACTCACCTTGCAACTCATTGACATCCCACATCCAAAGCACCCTGATTCTGAAACACAATCACAAGCTGAGCTCCAACAGATATGTCACTTTTGCTTCTTATGTTTTATTTTAGTCTCCTAACTTTGACACTAATTTTTCTTGAAATAATTTTTTTTCATTTTTCTAATAGACCTGCAAAGAGATCAAGAGTTTACGATGATGGCCACGGTGACTTACCAGAACAGATACGATTGAGGGAATTTGATTTTATTAATAAAGGGCCCGGACAAAGGCGAAAGCCATACTATGATCAACAGTTTCAAGATGACCCAGAGCCTCAAGTAGAAATGAGACAAAGACGTTTTGTAGACCACCAATTTTATGATGATTACCAAGAGGAAATGCAGAGGAATGATTCAGACTTTGGCACTAGGGGATCAGGGCAGAGGCTCAGACCTTGCCGTGACCCTCACCTTTGCGATGACTTTCCAGTAAGTGCTCCACCAGAAGATATTAATATGGGCCGTGGAGAGAGACAAAGACATTGTTCTGAGAACCCTCCTTCCAGTGATACACTCATGGATTCACAGTACAATAGGGGCCATGGACAAAGACCAAGACCATTGTATGACACCCAGTCTAATGATGAATATCAGTCACATAAGCAGTTTAAAAATCCAGCATTCCTCAACAACAGACCTGACCATGACCAAAGAATGAGACCATATCATGACTGTTTCCCTCACGAAGATATACAAACACCAATGGGAGACTTTGAGTTTGTTAGAAGGGGCCGTAGACAACAAATAATACCAATCCTTGATTACCAGCATTGCAGTGAATTACAAAGAGAGTTGCTAGCAGAAGATTTTGATGACAGAAATTCCGAGTCAAGATGCAGACCTTTTCACAACCCCCAGGCTTGTGATGACTACAATGAACAAGTGCAATTTAATGATTCTGTAGACAGGGAGACTGAACAAAGGAGGAGGCCTTTTGGTGGTCATTCGCCTCTTAATAACACGCCATATGAAAGATATCCAGAAAGGTGAGAAGAATGATCATATTATCTCAGACTTATCATGGTCAATCTCCTGTCTTTGACAGTGGTTGTTATTATTTATTTATTTACGATATTTATATGTTGCTCTTCTCACCCCGAAGGGGACTTAGACTGGCTTACAAGATATATATACATACAACCTATTATGTTATTAGCAAAGTACAATATTAGTATTAAATATTACTATATTGTAAGATACCATTATTGTTAGAATCACAGACACCTTAAAGGGCCAGACTCAAAAGTGACTTCAATCAGGGGATCCAACTGAGTCGTGGGGGGATCTAAGTCTTGACAATTATATTGTAATATTATTAGTAATGAAACTAATTAAATAATTAAACAAGACAACTAAATAATAACATGATTTTTTTGTCATGTCAGGACAACCAGTCAATTGTATTACAATTCTAACAGAACAAAACAAATAAACAGACAAAATACAAAATTTGCAAGTTTGGTAGTTGATTAAATGTCCTTTGACCTGTAGCTGGCCACTTGGAGTGCTTCTTGTGTTGCTGCAAGAAGGTCCTCCATTGTGCATGTGGCAGGGCTCAGGGTGCATTGCAGCAGGTGGTCTGTAGTTTGCTCTTCTCCAAATCGCATGACGTGGATTCCACTTTGTAGCCCCATTTCTGAAGGTTGGCTCTGCATTTCGTGGTGCCAGAGCACAGTCTGTTCAGCGCCTTCCAAATTGCCCAGTCTTCTGTGTGCCCAGGGGGGAGTCTCTCATTTGGTATCTGCAATTGGTTGAGGTTCTGGGTTTGAGCCTGCCACTTTTGGACTCTCGCTTGCTGAGGTGTTCCAGCAAGTGTCTCTGTAGATCTTAGAAAACTATTTCTAGATTTAAGTCGTTGACGTGCTGGCTGAAACCCAAACAGGGGATGATAACATGATGTAATTAGAAATATTTAATTCGCTTTGATTTTCTGATGGATTTTTGTTGTCTGATATACAGAAACTTCCTGATATAGTGGGTACAACTTTTTTGATAGTCCTGTCTGCCGTGATATTTTGGTAATATTAGATATCAGATATTTATGGATGTAAAACAGTAAGATTATGAATCACTGAATCATGGTGATGATAAACAAATTAATAACATAATTGTTGTTAACTATAAATGACGCTGGAATGTCAAACTTGAAACTTCATCATCTTGGCACTAAATATGTTAAAAAATACCATATTTACTTGAGTCTAATGCGCTATTCAGTCTAATGCGCACCTCAGTTTTCAAAAACCCTGAAACAAAAACAAAAAAAGGATTTGCTGCTGAATGTAATACGCAGCAGCAAAAAGTGGACTCTTTGTAATCCAGAACACCAAAGCTTCCAGCAATGGAAAAGAAAACTTTGAAATGCATCTATGCTGAAAAAAGAATCCACTTTAATTGCCTTAGTTCAATGCTATGGGATCATGGAGGGTATTTCTTGAATTGCTACATGTATGTACACATGCATCCAGACAGAATCTCAATAATCCTACAAATGAAGTTGCACAGGGAAAGTATTTTTCACTGTTTTTTCCTGTCCGTTGCAACTCTGCAAATTGTCCCAGAAAACCTCCAGAATGTGCTGTTGAAAGCTGTCATGGCTGGAATCACTGGGTTGCTGTGAGTTTTCCAAGATGTATGGCTATGTTCCAAAAGCATTCTCTCCTGACGTGGCAGGCATCCTCAGAGGTCGTGACGTCATGACATGAAACAATCAGGGACAGCTAACACTTTCCAACAGAGGATTCCCCCAGGCAGGAAGCAGGCAGTCTTTGAAGCTGCAAGGCCATTCAGTGCTAATCAAGGTGGCCAATTCAACATGAACAACTTCAAAGACTGGTCGCTGACTACCTATTAGAGGAGACAAAGCAGGAGGAGAAGACACAGACAAACAACAAATAGAAATTTAAGCTAATGGGATTAAGAAGCAACAAATTCAACAGACTTAGAAGAGGATGTGGAGAAGAAGTTTGGGAAGCCAAAATTCCCCCCACCCCTTTATCCCCAATAGAGGCCATTCTGCCCTGTTTTCCCTCTGCCCAAGCCAATGCTTCTCCTACTACTTCCCTTTCCAAATAGATCCCCTCCCCCTTTTTTACCCTTTCCCTCTCCCTGTCTCATTTTATGTATGCCTGCCATAGATGTGGGTGAAACGTCAGGAGAGAATGCTTCTAGAACATAGCCATACAGCCCAGAAAATTCACAGCAACCCAACCTCCAGAATAGTGTAGAAGTTGACACTTGAGGCTGCAAGGGAAAGCAAGAATGAGTAAAAAAAAATCAAATTGTCTTTCAGGGGTGAGCCTCCACTGAATTCTAACTCCCTCCTTTGACAGTAGGAGCTCTTCCATGTTTTCATTCTATATTTTACACATTACATTAAGTATATCTGTATTGGTTTTTTCCCCCAGAGGTCGTTCTTATCGTTCTCAGGAGGATTTCCAAGAAAAACCCTTATTTCACAGTGATTGTGGCTCTGATAAGGAAGACTACCACAGAAATTGCAGGTAAAGTTGCTATTGTCATAGTATCCCTCCAAAAGAGGCATTCCCTTAAAAATAGAAATCGTTGGACAATTTATAATAATATACACAGTATGGTATATATTATTACCAACAAGCTGTGCATATTTTGTCTTTTACAATATGATAATATGGTTCCTTCTTTTAAAGAAGTGAGCCTTAAAAGTAAAGGTGATTGGAAAGATATACCACTTGGTTCTTTCTTAGGGCCCTTCCACACAGCCCTATATCCAAGAATATCAAGGCAAAAAATCCCACAATATCTGCTTTGAATTGGGTTATCTGAGTCCACATTGCCATATATCCCAGTTCAAAGCAGAAAAAGGGGGATTTTCTGCCTTGATATTTTGGGATATAGGGGTGTGTGGAAGGGCCCTTAATCTCAATTAAGGCATTGATATTGTTGAGAGTAAACCACCCGTCCTTCCCAGAAAAAACAGTTCAAAACTTTTCAAAACTTCCGAGACTTCCAAATCCTTCCTTAATGGTTTGAAAGTGTTATTTCCAATTTCACTGGGTGGTCTTTACTTTTAAAGTAGTTGTTTTACTCCAGAAAGTGGGGGGAGCAAAGGGAGGAAATCCATCCAGTCTGGTTTAATATGCTTCCCAAGCTTGAGACCAGAAGCAGGGAAAAGCTGAATGATTTCCCACTCAATTACTGCTTCGTAACAGAAATGGTGGAAAGAGCTTCAGAAGGGCAAAGAGACTTCCGGTTTTCTTAAAAACTTCAAAATCGCTTCAAAATGCAAATCTTTCCAAATTTATTCCGAATTATGATGATTCTGACCTAACTTAACCATGCCTAGTGCTTGTCTATCTCACTGTCATGAATAACTCCTTCATCAGTGTAAGACATTTTCAATTAATCATAATTTTCATATTATAGGCCTGACTGCTCAGAGGATTACAGAAGAATTGCCTCTTCAGATGAAGTTATAAGAGGAGGAGAAACAAGGTTTGCGTCGTATTCCTCGCACCCAGCGCATGTCATGTCATCTTCCCACCAGGAAGTTACTTCATCTTTGGTGGACTGTGAAAGGGGATCTGAATGCAATGTCACAAGGGAGATGGGTCAAAGGAAAAGGGTACCTGTGCTAACAATTGATTACAATTATGGGTTGCCTTTTAACTATAAGGCTGAAGAGGAAGATAGAGCACATTGTGATTCACATCCAAGGAAGCGCTATATTTGGAAATGAACCACATACACGTATGCATGCGTTTTTCACCTATTTTCTTTTTGTGTGTGGACCAAACTTCTCTCAAAATGGAATTTTTTTTAAAATGATATTGGCATCTGTGCACTAGTGGCTTATTGTCTGAAGAGGAATGCCTTGTCTCGACCATAGCAGGATGGCCTCCATCCATACAATTTGGATCACAAGCCATCAAAGTATGTCTTATAAGACTAGTTTCCGCCACTGTTTGTTTGTTTACATTTAGGTAGTCATTATATTTCTTACAAGGAGACATATGTCCAACATAAATGAATTAGCAGTAATATTTATCTTTAGTTAATTGGAAGGATATAGCATAAGGCACAGCTGAATTTGGCCTTTCTACACCACCATAGTCAGATAATCAACATTATCTGCTTTGAACTGGATTATATGAGTCTACACTGGCATATAATCCAGTTCAAAGCAGATAATTTGAATTTTATATGACTGTGTAAAAGAGTCTCTGTGTTTTCCTTCGTTTTATCATTTTGAAATAGGCATAGTAATATCAGCTTATAAAACCTATAACAAAAGAATATAAAGACTGTTCTCCATAAAGTTTCACTATGAATTGGATTATGATTTGAAAGGAAAGAAAACATATTACTGTAAATATTGAAAGCGTTATGATAACATTGTTAATTAATTTGATGGTAAGAATTTGGGTTTCCTAAAGCATTTCCTGTTTAAAAATAGAGGCAAGGATTGTTATAGAATAAAGCCTATCACACTAGAAAAAAATCAAGCTGATCTCTTCTTTTCTATTGGTATCCTAGCCATATTCAAGGGTTGAATGAAAAGTAATGCCTCCACCTTCGTTATTTGGGTTTGGATGGAAATATTTTAATAAATCAAATGCTGAAATAATCCTTAGAATGTTCTCTTTAACTACCAATATTTACTTTTCCACATAATCACCAAACAATTGGATACATTTCTGCCAACAATGAACAAGTTTTCTGAAGCGGTCACGGAAGAAGTCGACACTCTGTTTCTGCAATCAGTTCTCTCAATGTACCCATTGTGCACAGATCTTCCGATAGCCAAGCAAAGCAATAATGTGACCCGCATATTCTTGTGAAATGCCAATTATGCTTGAAATTTCTTTCTGAGTAATACGACGATCGTCCTGAATCAATCTGTCAACCTTTTGCTTGTGAAACTCTGTGGTTACTGTCAAAGGACGTTCAGCTCTTTGTTTGTCATGCAAGTCAGATGTTCCCACCTCAACATCTTTAAACTTACTCGCCCAACAAGGCACAGTACTCACATCAACACAATTACCATAAACAGCTTGTATTCTCTGATGACTCTCCTTTGGGGTAACACCTTTTGCAGTTAAGAATTCAATGACTGCACATTGCTTAAGTTGCATTGACCGACCATCTGCGCAGAGTTCCATACTTTGCACTTTAACAACACAACCATTCAATGCTAAGGCTTCCCACCAAAATAGAACTGTAGAGGAGAGTCTACTGAACAAGCCAGTATCTGCCGCATACTAGTACTGCCATCTGTTGAGGAGTTACAAATTTAGATACCTTGCTCCATATAAAGTTATGGTTCATTCATATATAATCGATGAACCATAACTTCTCAAAGCCTTGGAGGCATTGTAGAGCAATTATTGCTCCCATTATACCATATTTATTTGAGCCTAACGCTCACCTTTTTTTGGCCAAATTCTGTCTTCAAAATCAAGGTGCACATTACATCCAGTGGTGCATTAGACTCAAGTAAATATAGGTATATTTAACTAGACCATTCTTTGAGTGTGTGTGATAATTTTTTTATTGTATACAAGTGACCAGCGTAAGTACAAATTGCATTAACTAGCCAAACTGGTACATTGCAATAATTTAACAAATATTTTCTCACACAGCCATATAACCCAGAATATCAAGGCAGACAATCCCACAATATCTGCTTTGAAGTGTATTATCTGAGTCCACACTGCCATATATTCCAAGTCAAAACAGAAATGGTGGGTTTTATTCAGCTGTTTGGAAGGGGCCTCAGATGAGCACTGGGAATAAAACTGCAATATTCTCCTGCTAAAACTCACTAGGACTCTGATTAAAGTTTGAATAAGTAATTTAATTTGTATAATGTAAATTATGCAAATACATCTATTTTGAGTTAGTGTGCTTCAATTTATTTTCATGTTATACTAGGGACTTTATCCTATCAGCCTGTTGTCTCATTGCAATCGGACTTTTTAAGTAAACAAAAACATACTAATATTAGAGAATGATAAGTTTTACAACTCAGCACAATTGTGCAATCCTCATATTTTATTGATGCTAATTCCCACAATTAGTCTTCATTTTCTACCTGATCTTTGTGGGGGGTTTTTTTCTTCTATTCTCTCCACCATTTTTGTCACACTATGCAATTGCAGGGTTTTGGCATTCTCATGAGATCTTCCTCCACTGCACAATATTAGGACAGCAGTGGAAGAAAAAAAAGATGAAAAAATAGCAATATTGGACTTAGTGGTAGGTTTTTCCTATCAATGAAAAGAGATGATCCAATCGTATTTCAAGGGCAGTGCGACTACAGGACAGTCATAGTGAGGAGTGATTTCAGCTATTCACTAACGTTGGGGTTTGGAGCCCAGCACACTATGCTGTGCCAAAGACCAGATCAAGATATGAACCAGGTTTGAAGGCAACAAGAACAGAGGTTTATTCTTTCCAGCCAGAAAGGATGTCAGAAAAAAGTCTGCACTCTCAACAATCCAGAAGTACAGAACATATTTATACACTTTTGATACACCGACACCAGCCTCTGATTGGCTGAAAATTGGTACAACTAGGATCCGGGCTTCTGTTGTCTTGCGACCTCTTCTGATGTCATTCATGGTTGGTGTTTCTCCGTGGCAGGAAAAATAAACAGCTGTCATTTGTTGAAGGTTTGAGTCCATTAAAGGTCTGCTCCGGAGGGAGGTGGGGACCTCCGGAATGTGGTGTGGCAATGTGGAAAACAGTTCAGGATGGGATTGATCACTCAATCCAGTTTATACAAAGAAAATAGTCTTGTGAACGGAATTGGCAATTATGTTGATATAACAGTTCAATGGAAGGTATACACTGGTAATTCACATGTTTATCCCCAGGAGCCGGTGCCTCTGGATCTTATCAATCAATCAATCTCTCTATATAAAAATGTTCTGTGCATAATGAGTACCTTAAAAACAAAAGAACCAGTGAATGAAATCACACCAAATTTGGCAACAAAATGTCTCATTACACAAGGAGTGACCATCACTCAAAAAGTTATGATTTTGGCATTTGGGAGTTGTAGTTGCTGGGATTTAAAGCTAACCTACAATCAAAGAGCATTTTGAACTCCACCAATGATGAAATTGAACCAAATGTGGTATACAGGACTCCCGTGACCAACAGAAAACACTAGAAGGATTTGGTGGGCATTGACCTTGAGTTTGGGAGTTGTAGTTCACCTACATCCAGAGAGCACTGTGGACTCAAACAATGATGGATCTGGACCAAACTTGGCACAAATAATCAATATGCCCAAATATAAACACAGATGGAGTTTGGGGGAAATAGACCTTGAGATTTGGGAGTTGTAGTTACTGGGATTTATAGTTCACCTACAATCAAGAGCATTCCAAACCCCACCAAGGATGGAATTGGGCCAAACATCCCACACAGTGCCCCCATGGCCAACAGAAAATACTGTGTTTTCTGGTGGTCTTTGGTGACCCTTCTGACACCCCCCTGGTGACCCCCCCCCCACCCAGGTCTTGACTTTCCAGGTTGAGAAATGCTGCCTTAAGGCCATCCAGTCCAACTCCCTTCACCAGGGCAAGGCAAGAAAACATAATCAAAGCCCTCCTGACAAAGGGCTATCCAGCCATTCACACACACACACACATATGACAGATGGAGTATCAAAGATTTGAAAGGGACCCCTAAAGAAGGACAATCATATGTTGCATGTTCCAGAGTTGGCAAACCAGACAAACCCCACATCAACACTGGCAAAGAAACAGCAAGAAATACTGTTTACCCACAAGCATAAAGACATTACATATATTAGAAATCAACACTTTCTCATTACTTTATTTTCCAGATCACCAGACTGGGCCACAGCAACGCGTGGCAGGGGACCGCTAGTAACTCATTAAAAACTTTACATGATGATATTAGCTTCACAATGGATGGGAAGTCAGAAGTGCCTCAGGTACACAAGCAGGCATGCTCAATTATTTTTACTGGTTTTCCGGGACTTACACGCTGAACCGTATAAGCACATACCTTCATATATAGCATCAGCGCATACAGCTATACTTTATCAATGAACCACATATAGATTATGAATGACCATACAATAATGATGAATTACGTTGTATAGGTTTTATGAGTAAATCTCAAGAAAGTAAACATGCAGATTCAGGAGGTGAGAAAAGCTCCTTTAAATAGTTCTTTAAACATGTTGGGAAAATACAAGTTTGTGGGATGGGAAGTATATAAGCATTTCCTGTAAAGCAATTTCTCTGAGGCGATCCACTTATTCACTGGGGGATATGTTAATGTCTCTGGGGTGTGCAATCGGTCAACCTTCCATGGCAGGGTCACTGAAATTAGGACAAAGGACAAAACGGAGGGAAGCTGCTTTCCCAGAATTGTACAGTTGTATAAAAATAGCATTAATGTTTTAATTGTATTGAATTTGCATTGAATCCATACTTGGGGGGGGGGGGTCCAATTTTTCAATAACAGCCATATTGTGCAGTAAGCTCCATCCAAAGGCACTTTTACCTTGCCATAATTGCACTACCTCAGCCTTGGGTGATAAAGTCTTAGGAGTCCAGAAGACTGAGGCGCCTTCCAGACAGGTGTATAAAATCCACATTGAACTGGATTATATGGCAGTGTGGACTCAGATAATATTTATTTATGTATTTACAATATTTATATGCCTCCCTTCTCATCCCGAAGGGGACTCAGAGCAGCTTACAAGATATATATACATACAATATATTATATTATTAACGTAGTACAGTATTATATATTACTTATTTCGAGTTCAAATCAGAATATTTTTTACTAGGTTTAACGGACTTTGAAATGGAAAAGAATACAAACAGAATTTCCTACTTTTCTTTCTCATTTTGTTCTCACACTAACTTAAGATTTTATAAGTTCTTCTCACGCTCCAATCCTTTGGAGTCAATCTTCTCTCAAGAAAAATATGTAGGAAAAAAAGTATTATATATTACTATATTGTACTATATCATTGTATTGTACTATTATTAGTAATATTATATGCAATATAGATATATAATTATAATATATTAGTATAATATTGCATTACATTATAATATTATAAATATTACATATATATGCAATATATTACATTACATTATATTATATTATTAGAATAGCACACGAGACAAGGTGGAACTGTCTTCTGCCCCCCCCCCCCTTCACTCAATGCAGATATTGTGGATTATCTGCTTTAATAATCTGGGTTATATGGTTGTGTGGCTAAGAGCCCTAGTCCAAATCTCTACTTGGTCATAGAAACTCACTGTGTAGCATTAGGTAAGTCACCCTCTCCTGCTCTTAGAAGAAGGCAATGGTAATCCCCTCTCTCTGAACAAATCGTTAAAAAAAAAACCCGCACCCACATCCATGATAGCGTAACATTAAGTTCACCATAAGCTAAATGTGATTTGAAGGCACATAACAATATTTGGGGACAATATAGAG